GGAAATGCAAGGAAAAAATGTATTAATAACAGATACTTCCTGTACACCTGGAGAGACCCAGAAAAACTGAGTGAATCGCCATGTGGTCTGACAGACACCATCTTCAAATGGTTTAGCTAAAGCAGAGGACACTGGGGAGAAAGGTGAAGGTCAATTACAGTGGTTCCCCCAAAATGGCTCAATAAAACAGGCAAATAGAGTCTGCCTCCATCCTTGATCAGATCTGCCCCGAGAGACATCCTTAAGGGGGTGTTTAAAGGTAGGGATCGTTCCAAGGCTGCCTTTGTCTTCACACTGCCCATAAAATTAACCTTTCGCTCAAGGTTAATTGGGAGCAAGTGTTTCCTCCTCTACACTCCCATCCTTTTCCTTGGCTCTAGTTTGAAACTACAGTGCTATCCTCAGATTTTTCCTTTCCTTCCCCCTTCAGTCTTTGAACAGATGTCTGTCCTGGTCAAAGTACTTTAAACAGATTCTCCCTTCTCCTTTGCCATAGCTACATCTACTGTCTTACCCCTGGTGAGCCCAGCTCCAAGACTTCCTATGCCTCCACCCTTCCCTCATCTCACCTAAAGGCTGGGCGTTATCACCCTAAAGCTTGAACATATCCATTTACTTCCCTCAACGTTAACTTATTTAAGGAGTGGGGGGAGGGGGGTCACACCCCACAATGCTTTGGGCTTACTCCTGGCTCTGTGCTCAGGGATCATTCCTGGCAGGACCCAAGGGACCATATGTGGTTCTAGGGGTAGAACCCTGGTCAGCCACAGGTAAGGTACGTATGCAACGACCCACAGTACTAATGCTCTGGCCTCCACCCTTAACATTTTGAATGGCTCTTACAAACACAATCAAGTGCAATTACTGGTCTAGCACCACAGGCCCTTTACAAGCTGGCTCCAGGCCACCAGCCTCCTCTACCACCTCTTCAGGAACAAACTGGCTGATTTTTTTCCTGGAAGAGCTGTGGCTCTTCTGCACCTGTGTGTCCTTCCATGCTCTCTTCTCTGCCCAGGAATATTGTTTTCACCCTTCTCTTCAGGAACTTCCTGGTCAACCTTCAATATGCAGACTAGCATTAAATTCTGACAAAGTGATAATCACATTATGTTCTGGTCCTCAGAAGGTACTGAACTATACTAAATTACCCATAATTTCCCCCCAATACTTCTATGTGGTTTGTATAACATTATAAGGGCCCTATTGGAAGTGTCATACTCTGTGTGTGATTCTGCCACTTCTCTGATTTGGGGATCAGTCTCTTTTTTAAAAAAAATTTGAATCTTCATAATAAAAAGAATGTCTTCATTTCTGAGTTCTATATTCATTATTCATACACATTTCCTAGCAGCACATTCAAGACCATCTTAACTTATAGATGATTTTCAAAGTTACGGCTTTTAACTTTCAAAACACAAAAGAACTATTGTGCAAGAAAAAAACAAAACTATAATAATGTTTAACTGTTTGTTTTTTGGATCACACCCAGCAATGCTCAGGGGGTTACTCCTGGCTCTGTGCTCAGGAATTACTCCTGGCAGTTCTTGGGGGACCATGTGGGATGCCAGGGATTGAACCCTGGTCGTGTGCCTGCAAGGCAAATGCCCTACTCGCTGTACCATCGCTCCGACCCCAATCTTTAACTTTTTAAAGTTAAATTTAATATGTTTTTATTTAAAGGGTTTACAGATAGATACGAAAAATTTAAATCTGAAGAATTTGGGATCTTAAAGTTAGTTAAATGGCATCTCACAGCCTGGAAGATTTTTTGTTGGCAAAACATCTACTTTCCAGAGGAATCACTAAATTTTAATAGAAAAGTCCATGCTTTTAAAAGAAAGGCAAAGGGGCTAAAGAGACGGTTCAAAGGGTTGAAGCTCATGCAACACTGTAGTACTGTCCTCTCATTGTTCATCGATGTGTTCGAGCAGACCCAGTAACGTCTCCATTGTGAGACTTGTTGTTACTGTGTTTGGCACATCGAATACGTCACGGGGAGCTTGCCAGGCTTTGCTGTGCGGGCGGGATACTCTCAGTATCTCAAGCTAAAGTCCAGGTTTGATTCCTGGTACCATACGGTTCCCCGAATACTGCTGGAAACAGTCCCCATCCCCCAATCAAACACTGCCATGTGGGGTGGAGAGGGCGGGAGGAGCAACTATAGGAAATTATATGAGGCTGGAGAGATGATGGGCTAAAGGACTAGAGCCAGGATTCCTTCCCAGAACCATGGGCTCCCCTAAGCAGTGCCAGACATGATCCCTGAGCACTGTGCCCGAGTAGCCCCTCCCTGTCAGGTATGACCCAAAAACCAAAACATAAAAAAAGAAAAAGAAAGGACTAGGGATGTAGCTCAGTAATAAAGTGAGGCCCTGGTCTTTTGCAAACCACAACTCCCAAAAGGAGAGAGAGAAAAAAGGTAATATCCTGCCACGGAGGCAGTGTGGGACGGGGTGATGGGGGGTGGGAGGGATACTGGGACCCGTGGTGGTGGAAAATGGACACTGGGGATGGGATGGGTGTTCGACCATTGTACAACTGAAACCCAAGCACAAAAATTTGTAGATCTACAACTGTACCCCATGGTGTTTCACTAACAAAAATTTAAAAAAAAAACCTGTAAATGATGGAGAATGGGCACTGGTGGAGGGATGGGTACTGGATCATTGTATAACTGAAACCCAAGCACAAAAATTTGTAAGTCTACAACTGTACCTCATGGAGTTTCACTAATAAAAATTAAAAAAAAAAAATAAAGTGAGGCCCTGGGCTGATGCCCCAGCACTGCATAAAAAAATAAAAAAATAAATAAATAGGAAGTGACAAAAATCTGTCTCTCCTTAAAGAGACAGGATGAGATTCATTCATCAGCCATTTATTAAATGCTTTTTCAAAGCAAGACATTAGTAAGTAGCAGTGGGCGTCAGGCATTTCACTTCCCTCAATTCCCCAGGGAGAAAAGAGAGAGAAGATACAGAACTGCGTAGACGCCCAGAGGGATGCAATTTGGGAGGTGCAGGAGACTGGTAGAGTTCAGAGGAGGGATGGAACTGAGGGATGCCGTGGACACAGAGCACGCAGTGCAGGGACTAGCAGGCGCCGGACATGACAGCTGGACCTTGCAGGGAGGTTCCGGTCCCTGCAGCACCAGCTCCAGAGCCTAGGCTGCCCACGAAGGTCCTAACGAAAACAGTATTTCCAGACACAACCTAGTTGAGGAATCCTAGATAATATGCTCACACACAATGAAAATATATGGTCTAAGTCCTGATGTAGCGACAGATGTTTTAGGCAAAGAACTGGGGGAAGCCATTCAGGACAGGGAGGATAACAGCAAAAAAAAAAAAAAAATAGACCCCTGGACATCTCTCCCTAGAGTGGGCCTGGCTCACTGACCACACTCATACCCTGCCCCTCCACCCCCAGTTCTGGGAAGTTGGTTAGAGAAACACTGAAACACAGAGGATTCCCCCCCATCCACACACACACAGCCCAAAGAATTCTGGGCTCAATCCAGTGAACAACAGAAAATAACTGGATAGTTTAGATCAGCAGAATTAAAAGGGCAGAAGCTGTGCTTAAGGGAAATTCTTGTAACAACATCATATAGCGTGAAGGGGAGACCAAGAGACTGGAGGGAGGGCAGGGAGCTGGAGTCACTGCACAGAACCCGCCACCAAGAATTTAAAACAATCTGCACAGCTTCCTTTGCACCTTATGTCTCATGAAAAATGTATTTAGTGGCCCACATAGAAACACAGCCTCTGAAATCTTTGTTTTTTTTTTAAGTGTTTGCTCAATGGTGGAGGTTTGACCCCTGATGGTTTTCAAGCCCCACCATGGCTCTCTCCTTCCCCTTATGTGTAGGATCTGACACAGAGCCCTGGAACTCTGAGTTCTGTGATGGTGGGAAGCTCAAACCAGACCCCCCCCCCCCCCGCTCCAGCACTCACGCCTGGTGGGGCTTGGCTGGCAGAGATGGAACCCTGGTTGGTGCATCAAGGCAAGGGTCCTACCTGCTGCATTATTGCTGCAGTCCCCATTCAGCTGCAATGACAACCAACGGTTCTCAGCCCTTTCATCACACAAACTATGTGGACCGATCTGCAGTGTAACTACTTAGCTCTCCTCAGAAAGCCTCATTATGTATTATATCTATCCGTGCCCTCTTGGGGGTTGTACGTGTGTGTGTGTGTGTGTGTGTGTGTGTGTGTCCGGGGGGGGGGGGGGGTGGATGACCACTAGTCTGGGATATATGGGCCAGGGTTGATCCTAACCCTCCGGAGAGTAACCACAAATGACCGCTGGTGGCCACTTTCTGGACGGTGAACCACTTTGGTGTCTCTCTCAACCTAGAATGAGGACAGGAGACAAAGAGAAGGGGCACTGCAGAACACTGAAAGAGTTTCTGAGCTCCAGAAACCCCCACCCCCCCAAGGAGTCGCCCTTCTATTAGATGCCCACTAGTGTAGGACCACTCGGTGTTGGCCACATTGAATGGGCACAGACAGTCACTCTGACGCCTGGCTGTCCCAGTGAGTGCCGGGCTCCGGCTCTCACTCAGTCTAGCACCTAGCATCAAAGGAGCCATCAAGCTTACTTCTCCCAGAGTCAGGACTTCCAGCTAGAAATCTGCAGCCAAGTGGGGGTCAAAGCTCAACGAAATGTCATCTTTAAAGTTCTGAGTTAAAAGGCCGGCATGTAGCTCGGTGATAGAGCACTTGCCTGGCCAGTAGTTGGATCTGGGTTTCTTTCTTAGCACTGAAGAACACAAAATAGGGCTCTGAGTAAGAGTGTGCGAGGAAAATAAAAGACTGCAGCGAAAAGCCACAAAGAACATCCTCCAAATAGTACTTCAGTTTTTAAAACAAATGCATCTTGAATTGTGCACAGAACAGAAAGGAAGACCCTGTCCTTTCAGCCACAGCTGAGAGGTCATTAACTGTGAAAAACAGTATCTTCCTCAGAAAGTTTTCAAAAGCATAATAGTAAGTACTTACACGTCTTTGGCTGCTCCTGCAGGGCCTAGGAGGGGGAAAAAAATAGGTTTGCATATTAGTGTGATGGTCACTGTCACTGTCCTCCCGTTGTTCATCAATTTGCTCGAGTGGGCCCAGTAACATTGAGAGACTTGTTACTGTGTTTTGGCATATCCAATATGTCACGGGTAGCTTGCTAGGCTTTGCCGTGCAGGCGAGATACTCTCGGTAGCTTGCCGGGCTCTCCAAAAGGGGCAGAAGAATCAAACTCGAGTCAGCCGTATCAGGCGCATGCAAGGCAAACGCCCTACTGCTCCAGCCCAGTGTGATGGTATCGCATAAAATATTTAAACCAATTTCTCAAGGGGTATGGTGATGCCAGCAGGCCAACCTGTAACTGCAGGGCGAGTGCATCTGCAGCCTGATAGTGTCTTCAGACTTCCAGATACCCCCAAATTGCTGCTGTGCCTTTGGCCAGACCCCAACAACTTGGGACCAAGTTTACCAAGAAATAAACAGCCAAACCACCTCCGCTCAGCTATATAAGCTCATTTGTTGGCCTTATTTCAGAGACCCATAAATCTCAAAAGAGAAAGAGATCAAAAGATGCAGTTAGGGCCTGTAGCACAGAGGTAGACGAAAACCCGTGACTGAGATCTCCAGGCCCGCTTGGATTGGGACTGGGCCTCCTACCCCCCAGGTCCCCAGTTTTCTAGTAGTTTGGCAGTCACACCCACAAACTGCCCCTGGCGCCATGTAATCTCATCAACAGCCAAGACCCAGAGACTATAAACTAAAGCTCCCAAAAGAGAGCTCTGCAGAATGTCCTGACCCGTGCCAGGCTGTCTTCACCGGGGCACCTGGGAGGGGGGCAGGTTGAGTTTCCCTCCCTGCCCCAAACAGAACCCTGGCAGCCGAAAACTTCCAGAACCCAGCTGCAGCCATGCTCAAAGCCACTCTCCACACACTCAGATGAGCCTTACCCAAGAGGGACAAGCTTTACCCAAGAAGGGATGAACCTCACCCAAGAGTGGACCAGCAGAAAAACCCAGGTATCTGGGAACCCGTGACTGAGATCTCCAAACCCACTTGGATTGGGACTGGGCCTCCTCCCCCCAGGTTCCCAGTTTTCCAGAAGCTTGGCAGTCACACCCACAAACTGCCTCCAGCACCATGTCAACAGCCAAGACCCAGAGACTCTAAACTAAAGCTCCCAGAAGAGAACAACGCAGAATGTCCTGGACATTATATTCTATCCATAACAAGCAATACAAAACAAATCATCTAGCATTGCCTTTTCAGCAGGTTTGAATGGTGGTAGGACTGGTGTCGAAATATCAAGTGTGATCCAAGTAGAGAGAGAGTATGGGGGAAATTGTCTGCTACACAGGCAGGGGAAGAGTTGTAACGGGGGTGAGGAGATTCTGGGGTTCTGGTGGTGGAAATGTGCACTGGTGCACGGATGGGTGTTCGATGATTGTATGACCGAAGCTCAAACATGAAAGCTTTGCACCTATATCTCACAGTAAATAAAAAACGGGGGGGGGGGGGATAATAATAAAATAATAAAATTAACATTCTGAATTTGAAAAAAAGGTAATGTGGAGTTCATGTCCAATTCAATCAGCTTAATCAATGGTTGAATAAATAGCCGCACTCCTACATTATAAAAAATTAAAAATAAATAAATTTCTTGTGCTTACATGAAAATAAATAAACCAATTTCTTCATTGAAATAATATTCCAGGCTGGAGAGATAATACAGTGGAAGGGCGCTGGCCTTGCATGCACCAACCAGGTTCGATCCACAGCACCACATATGGTCCCCTGAGCTGCTAGGAAGGCTCTCTGAAGGCCAGGAGTCAGCCGTGAGCACCACCAAGTGTGATCCCAAAAACAAAAAATAAAAGTTTTCACAAATAAATAATATTCTATTGAAGCAGGTTGAAAATATGATTTTTTTCAAAAAGATCAGTTGAGGACTCAAGGATGTATCCACGGATGCAGTTCTGGCATACAGCAAGTATGAACCCTGGCACACCGCCACCACCACACCAGAATAGCAAAGTCAAAACTCGAAAACAATTATTTTAAAGGTCATTTTAAATAAAAAGAAAAGCCCAGAAAACCATAAACTTTCCATTTTTCTAGCTGTGCTCCGAGTGCCAAGTACTGCTGCGAATCGAACCCGGAGTCTCACACAGGCAAGGCTTTGCCTTTTGAGCCAATTCCGGGACCAAAACTGAACTCTTGAGAACTTATTCTACCTTTTTAAGCGACTCCTCTTCAATACGAAGTGTTGATTCTAAAAAAAAATTTTACAGGCCATCTAATTCAATTTCCTTATATTACAGATAAGGAACCTAATCGATTCCAGAATTTTTTCTTCTTTTCTAAATTCCACACTTTGCAAAGTGGCATCACTGTAAGCCATGTGATGTGCTAATCTCCAAGAAAAGCAAAGTTGGGAAACAGCATGGAGTTGGTGTCCTAAATGAATGAGGGAATCTCAAGGACACCCGCCCAGCGACAATCACTGCATTTCTAACTCTGCTCTGTTAGGAATCCCTCTCTTGTCTGCTACACACCCACGTGGTGAAAACAACCCATCACTCCCAGACCCCATTTATCGGTCTCCCCACACACAATCTTCTTCCCAATATCTTTATCTGGGCAACACAGAATTTAGTTCCAACTTCATGCCCTTTAACCTGAAAAACTTCACATCCTACTATTGTCAAAGGAGGAGTCAGCGTACCTTTCTCCAAGGTCATTATGACCATTAAAAACATAATAAAGCATGTAAGCACTTAACACAAAGTTCAGCAAAAACAATATAATTATTAGCAATCACACTCACCCAAATATAGAATCACGATTCCTGCGAGTTAGAAACTAAGATAACTTCCACACAAGTCACAAAGATGTGAAAAAGGAAGAGGTGTTTCAAAGTAAGCAAATAAGTCTTCAGGAAAAACTACCGAGCAAACTGTAAGAACTATCTGTCAGTGATATTAAGATATCTAATACTACAACTTCAAAACAGAGCACGGAGATTAAGAAGGGAGTCATGTGGCGGGGGGGAGGGGGGGTGTTCCCATGGCAATTAATTCATGGAATAAACCAAGGTAAAACCTGAACAGAAGCAACCCCTCTGCAACCAGTCCCTTTATCAGCCCATAATGCAAGACGAGGGGCCCAAGAGATAATACAATGGGTGAGATGCTTGCCTTGCATGGGCCTCACTCAGGTTCAATCCCTGGCACTTCATAATGTGCTCCGAGCCACACCAGGAGTGATCCCTGTGTGCCGAGCCAGGAGTACCCTGAACACTGCTGGGCATAGCCCTCCAAAAAAAAAAAACAAAACCCAAGGCTGGACCCCGGTGGAGATGATTCTGCAGAAGTAATAAGTAATAAGGCAGAAGGATGCCAGTCCAAAGAGAAAATAAAGGCCGACCTCCATCAAGAGAGATAAAGACTTCTCAGGAACAAAAGGCCCTTCCCGATAAGAATTTGAAAGATGGGGTGGGGTAGTGGGGAGGTTTACAGGGAGGGATACTGGGGTACTTGAGGGAGGTCAGTGAAGACACTAGCGAGGGTGTGGAGTCAGAATTATATGCACGAGAAATCATCACATATCTTAAATCCCAGAACCTCAATCAATAAAAATATTTAAAAATAATAAATTGTTAAGAGAATTTGAAAGAAGACTGTCGGGGGTTGGAAGGAAAAGGGCCCAACAACTCAAAGTTCTTATCCCTGTATCTGCCTGAGTCACTAAAGCACTTGATTGTGTCTCCAACACAAGGGGAGGGCATGCTGAGCCCAGGGAGGCAGCTGAGACAACAAAGCACTTCCTTTCCAAAGGGGAATAGGGAGTCTAATGAGTGCGGATTTTAATTAGCCACCAGGATCCACTTCACCTTGATTGCACCAGGCTCGGGCACCCCGAGGGTGTCTCGCCAGCTGGGCTTGCTCAAAGCAGATGTCTGAGGCTTTCTTCCGAAGGGAAGTGAGTGGATCAATTGTGTCTTCTCTCGCGTCCCTCTCTTCAGAGGGAAGCATCTATTGAACAACTGTAGGGAGGAGATGGACCAAGCAGTTGAAAGCACCCTATCAATGGGAGCTGCCTGAGAGATGGCAAGGGGGGGGTACAGTGCTTGCCTCGAATGCAGACAGTCCAGGGTGCATCTCTGGCTCCCCATATGGGTCTCTGTGCACTGCCAGGAGTGATACCTGGGCACAGAGACAAGAGGAGTCCCTGAATACCACCAGTTATACCCTAAATTCACCCAAAATAAAAACACTGTACTAATAAGATGTATGCGTGCGTGGGCAGACACACACACACACACACACACACACACACACACACACACATTATCTGCTCACCATTGTTTTCAAAGGGAAGAGAAATATGCATGTAGAAATAAAGTAATATGCATTCACTAGCAGCTGATAAATGGGAGAGCCAGAATAGGGCTCCCCAACAAACAACTTCTCAGAGTTAAAAAAAATCAGGGGATTGGAGAGATTGTACACTGGATAAGGCATCTGACTTGCATGTGGAGACCAGGGTTTGATCCCTGGCACCCTATATGGTCCCCCGAACCCCATCAGGACTGAACTATAAGCACAGAGCCAGGAGTTAGCTCTGAGAACTGCCGGGTGTGGCCCCAAAACAAAACAAAGAAAGCAATACTGTAATTATCAGAAACCCTCAACAATACTATTAAAATATCAAGGTATGGGTTTCTCATATAATTCAAAAAGGAAAAGGTTCCAATTTGGTATTTCTAGGTTATTGGGGGGTATCTGCAAATAATCAAGTGCTTTTTCATGTAAATCAATGGAATTAGGATTGCCAGACTCAAAAAGTAAATTAACAAATGATACCAAACAAGAACATTCCACCTTCTGAAAACAAGGAAAATCTGTATATACAATATAGATTATATCTCTTTTTTTCTGAAAAAGTATAATATCGTAAAATTATTCAGAATCGGTTATTTTATCTTCAATGAAAGAAAACTATTTTACTCAC